ACCGTTGGGCTGCTGCTGCGTGAATGGGTAGAAGCTGTTGTTCCGGAGGCGCCTGGCCAACTGGCGCTCGGTGCAGAAGAGCCCGAGGTCCCAGAGCTGGAAGCGCTTGCCAGGGGGAGTGGGAAGGCTGATGATGAGGTCATCGGGGACCTGGGCCTGGGTCAGGCATAAGCGGAGGGCTGCAGTGAGGAGGGAGCTGGAGCGCTCAGGGGATCGGCAGGGGAGACCCCAGGTGGCAGTCTAGGCTGGGCTGCGGGGTGCGCTTGGGTTCTAGAAGCTTGGGGTGCTGGGTTCTAGAAGGGTCTGTATTGTTGACCACCCCTTTTCAGGAGAGTCCCCTGGCCAGGTCCCTGCTGTGGGCACTCACAGGCCCACCCCACCTGTGGGAGGCTCCTGTACAACCTGGTTCAAAACCTTTCCTGAGGGATGGCACCCCACACCAAACCCCATAGCTGAGCAGGGCCGTCCCCTGCATCACGCCTGCCCAGGCCAGAGCCTCACCACCGAGGGCAGCTCAGCGCGGCATCTCCGAGGGTGGGACACACACTTAACCCAGGATTCCAGTCCAAGGCACAGTCACAGGCAGATTCAGGATCCTGGGGACCACCCCCCCCAAAAAAGCCAGACCCCCGGCCAGCTCTAGCCTCAAGTGGTTCCCTCAGGTATAAGCCCTGACCACCCCCACCCCAAACCAAAGACCACACGGTTTTTAAAATGTTTATTGTAACAAAATGCTCCAACATCCAAAACTGGAAAAGGGTGCAGGGCCAGGCGGCCTAGCTGGGGGCAGGGGGGCAGGTGAGCAGCTGCTCCAGGCACCATTGGACCTCCTCTGGGCCCCGGTAGGTCCGCTTCAGGCCCCGGGGAAGGCAGCGGCAGGACTCCAGGTTGAGGTACAGCAGGCCTGGGCAGCTGCTGATCACAGAGCTGTGGGAGCAAGGTAGGCCATGGGGCACTGAGCCACTGGCTCCCAGGAGACCCCGGCCAGGCTGGGGAGCCCTCTCTGCCCATGCACCACAGCTGGTTCTGCCACCCAAGCCACCGAGGCCCAATTCCAGTTCTCTTGATGTCCCCGAGCCCGACTCCAAGTAGGGTTTTTGCCAGTATATGCTCCCCTTTCAGACCCTGGAACTGGCAAGCCAGGCAGGACAGGAGGCATGCTATCCTGGCTCCACGGGGCAGGGGGAGGGGTGCTGACCTGACTGTGCTTGGTGTGACCCGGGTGCCCCTGAGGTTAAGGGAGCACAGGGCTGGGGGTGAGCCCCCGGGGGGGCCTGAGAAGGCGGCTAGGGCCTGCTCCAAGTCCTTCTCACTGAAGCCCTGGCCACTCAAGTCCAGTTCCCGCAGAGTGTGGCACCACTTATGGGTCAACAGGGGGCTGCCCTCCTTGGCTAGAGTCAGCCGATCTGACATGCCATACAGGCCCAGGTGCAGCTGCTCCAACTCTGCAGGCGAGAGGGGTGGGCATGAGCTGTGGGGTGGGCAAGGGCCCCACATCACACCTGCCCTGCCGCCACCCAGGGGAGCTGACCCTGACACGGTAGGTCATACAGGCCGATGGGTGTGACGCGGGCGCAGCCTCGAAGATCCAGCAGGCGCAGGCCAGGGGAACCTCGGAGCAGGCGGCTCAGAGCCTCGTTGCTCACAAAGTTGCATGTGGAGCCGGCAAGGCAGAGCTCCTCGAGGCGAGGGAAGCCTGGGCCAGGAATCGCCACTCGCCCCGATGGTTTGGGCAGCCATATCAGGTTCAGCAGCCGCAGCACCTGGGAGCAAGGCCCAGGCTGCAGGTGGGGAGGGGTGTGCCCGGTGGGAGAGGTGGGGCGTCGGGTACCTGCAGCTGGGGGCAGCCTCTCTGCAGGGCCTCCACGGGCAGCTGGAGGGGAGTGTTGTTTCGGTGAATGCCCGTGCTCACCTCCAGGAGCTGGAGCTGGGGGCAGCAGCTGCCCTGCAGAAGTGGGGGGTGTCCAGGGGGTCAGTGGCCTGGCAGTCCCTGGCTCGGCACCAACTCAGCTCCTGCCTATCGCCAACCTACCAGCAGGGCGCCCAAGATGGCAGTGGTCTGGGAGCCGTAGGTCAGCCACAGCTTGCGCATTCGAGGCCCCACCTCCTCCAAGAAGTTCACCACAGCCGTGGACTCCACCTGAGGACCCAGCACAGGGGTGCCTGTCACTGTGGCCTGGGCTTCTTCGGGGCCCCTGGGGACACAGGGCTCACCATGGAGTGCTGAAGGTCCAGGCTGTGGAGCTGGGGGCAGGCTCTGGCCAGCATGACCAGAGTGTCCGAAGTCACACCGTGGCAGTCGGAGAGCTTGAGGAAGGTGAGCCGAGGACAGGACTCACTGACCAGCTGCAGAGGACAGAGACCCCGCGGGATTGGGGGAGGGCAGGCTACGATCAGCGAGAGAAAGAAACCAGTGACCAGCACCACTCTGCCGCCTCGGCTACGGCCTCCTTTCTGCCCAGGCCAGGCCCACCTGGGGACTCCTACCTCTGACCCCTCCCTGCGGAGGAGACAAGAGGGAAGGCGGACCAGGCAGGTGTCCCCATGGGCCAGTGTTGGACCCCCTGGTGCCTGGCCCACTCCCTGGAAGTCATGGGCAACCCCAGAGGTTCACAGCTGGCTGCAGGGCAGCCTCCAGCACTCACCTTCAGCACGGGATGTACCTGGGACTTCCAGTGGATGAGGGTCAGCCTCTGGAGCTGCGAGAACCTGGGGGCACAGCAGAGGCGGAGCTGCAAAGGCTCCCACGCTGCCGTTTTCAGGGTCCTCCCGCCCCTCGCCTTGGTGCAGGGACACAGGGAGGGGCCTGGGACTTGCCACACAACACAGGTAGAGCGAGCGGATGCGGAAAAGAGGGGGTGCCCCACCGGTTGGGCATAAGCCACTCCAGCGAAGCGAGGAGCTTCTTCTCGGCCTTGGCCCCGCCTTTGGTGGATCGGCCGGCCAGCGGGGGCGGCAG